TCTTTTTGGCTGCCTAAAACATTGAACCTTGAAGCAGAAGAACATGTATGGCTGTGTTCAGAAAAATGGTAGTTAGTGGAATGTAAGAAATGGATCGTGAAGTCTCTAAATGCATAGACCAATGGATTTCAATAATCTTTTGTTATTCAAACACATATACTCACAGTGAAATTAAATTAGTTAAAGCCAACAAGAATATGAATTCAAACACAAGCAATAAATATGAAAACAAGGAATAAGAAAAAAATTAAAGCAAAAATAGTCTAAATAAGAAAAGTCAGGTTTAAAGTTTAAAAAAAGAGCACCTACAAGCCAACCTCATTGCCAAACACTCAACCTGGATAAGACATATTCTGTATTTTATTTTTGTGAGCATAGACTATCATTTGTTTTTTCAAGTCTAGTTTTTACCCCTCAGCCTTTTTTTGGCTGAGGGGTAAAAAGTTTGTGAATGCAAAAACATGAGAACAAGTTGACGTAGGAGTTTCAAATTGATACCATAGGTGTATCTACTAAAAATGTCACATGAGTTTGAATCTCACTGACCATTGCCTCAAGGTCAGGGGTCAGAGGTTGAGCTTTCTGAAAATCTTGTGAATGACATAACTTGCAAACATGGCAACATATGATTTTGAAATTCATACAATAGGTGGATCTTCTAGGAGGCTGAGGGGTACCACTGGCCACTGCCAGCATTCTTATTTGTTATTTGCTATTTCCAGTTGAAACTAAATTAACAACTTGGGCTACACCAGTAGTTACTATAGTGATTATATAAACGTTTTGGGTTGTCTGAAAATTTTAAGTTATATAAAAAAATTGGGGTTATCATTGCAAAATGTTTGGTTATATCAATATTTGAAGCTTTGAGTAATAATAAAATTTCGACTTATTATATAAAAATGTGGGGTTATCAGTATTTGGGGTGTCAAAATCTCAGGTTGTTATATTGAACGTTTGGGTAAGATTAAAAATTGTCGTTATTGGCTTATTTTATCCAAATTTCGGGTTATTGTCTCAAATTTATATCAAAATTTAGAGATTTGGGTTGTTATATCAAAAATGTAAAATTTTGTGATCATAGTGGATGGCATGACTTGTGGATGGCACTTTTTTTCAGTGGCGGTGAAAAGCTTCCATAAAATGTAAATGTTGCACTTTTAGCGTGGTAGGTAGTTTTAGGCGTCCTGTCGCGCCTGTATGACGTCAGCCAGACGTTTACCGTCATGGCGGCGGCGGAGGGCTGTGAGGAGATGAGCGGCAACGGGGAGCTGGTAGAGTCTTCAGGTAGGTGATTACCGGTGGTGAATTTAGAGTTCGTATCCGGTAGTTGTTTTACAGATGTGGTGGAGCTTTGGTTTAATCAGCCAGCGTTTTTAAAAACAAAGCCTCCAGCTGGAGCCATTGTGGGTGCAAGCATGACATGCTAGGCTAAGCTAACGTGAATTCACCTGCACGGAGAACGGTCTGTCGTTTACTTTCACTAAGTTACGATCGGGTGGGGTATACAGCTGTTGGCTGCTGTTGTGTACCCTTTTTCGACAAGTTAGTTGTAGTCTGTCAAAAACAGCCCAGAAGCGCTTTAAAACTCTGAGCTTTATATGAATGAAGCATCTCTGCAGGCGCAGACAGGAGTCGGTAAAACAAAACAAAATACTGTACGAACTCATTTTAGTTGAGTTTATTTGGCCTTTTACTAGATAAATCACAGCTGTAGGCAGTAGATGATGCTTTCCATTTTTTCACATTTTATTCTAAAGTTTTACATGTTCATGCATGGTTTCTGTTATTACCATTTTTCATTCAAAACTATTCAGGAAGTAGAAGAAACAAAGTGAATGAGTTACATAATTTCAGTTAAGCAGCTCAGTATTTCTTTAAGTCTTCTTTCTATTTTTCATCACACCTGCTGAACAACACAGAAAC